CAGGAGAGAGGCTCTAAAGCATCTTAAGTGGCAGATGTGAATATTGGACTATATGGAGTATTGAATTAATGCATACAGGATGTTCTGTGAGAAGGAGAGGAAAGGCTAGGAACACCTAGGTTCTAATTTCTTGTAGAGAGCTCCTTCCTAAATCCTTTTGCTTGGAGGGAGCTAGAGAATTCCAACAGGTGCACCTTCTCCTGCGGTTAGCAGCAGGGAATGGGGAAGCTTTACCTGTTGCACATGGAGGGGAAGGAAAGCAGAAACTCTGTTTCTCCCCCCCCCCTCCAAACATACATGCACAGGAAAGCTTTCCCATTGATTTAATCTTTCCTCAGGGAAAGCTGCACCGGTTGCATCTTTCCACCTACTTTCTGCATCGGTGTTGGCGTTGCCATCCTCGGGGGAAGAAGAAGAGTTCGTTTTTATACCCTGCTTTTCTCTACCTTCAGGGGTTTCAAAGTGGCTTACAAATCACCTTCCCTTCCTCTCCCCACAACAGATACCCTGTGAGGTAGGTGGGGCTGAGGGAGATCTGAGAGAACTGCCCTTGAGAGAACAGCTCTGAGAGAACTGTGGCTGACCAAGGTCACCCAGCTGGCTGTATGTGGAGGAGGAGTGAGGAATCAAACCCGGATCTCCAGGTTAGCATCCGCTGCTCTTTTTTAATTTATTTATAATTTTTAAAATTTATTTTAACAATTCCGATCCAATTGACATCTGATAAACATTCATAAAAAAACAGGGCTCTTTATGTAGCAGGAACTCCTCTGCATATTAGGCGACACACCCCTAATGTAGCCAATCCTCCAAGAGCTTACAGAGCTCTTCTCACAGGGGCTACTGTAAGCTCTTGGAGGATTGGCTACATTAGGGGTGTGTCGCCTAATATCCAAAGGAATTCCTGCTACAAAAAGAGCCCAATCAAGTTTAATGTTAGGACAAGTTGAATGCAACCTACTGTTCAACATCTATTCAATAGGCAATAAATAAGTGAGCATTAAAACCTAATACAGGGTATCACACATAAGGTATGGCTTGTAAGGCCATGCCATGTAGTCTATGAATGGGGACCATGTGGAACACTAATGATCAAGTCCCGTTTGGTAATAAGCTGTCTGATTGCACAGTCCGCTGCTCTTAACCACTACACCAAAGTGGCACCAGCATCTTAGGCACCCACAGAAAACGGCTCAGCGAAAACGCTCCTGTGCACCAGCCCTGCCAGTGGAAAAACCGGTCCCAGGATTGCAGAGTCACGGCCAAGGCGTGCAAAGGCGCGGCGGGGAGCGGAAGAAGGCGGTGCCGGCCGACAAGCCCCCAAGCAGGCCTGGAGGGAAGCGAGGAGCACTACATGCCCCGTCATGCTCCGGGCCTGACTACCCGGATGAGGTTTCCCTTCGCGCGCGTGCGCACCGCCGAGCCGTTCCGCCGGCCGGGGGCTGCCCTGACTGGTCCTTGTTCGCTGCCGGAAGGTTCTGGCGCGTGTGGCGCACTCGGCGGCCGTTGTCGCCCTCCTCTTGCCCCCCTTCCGCCCGGAACCGGCTCGCGCTGCCTCTGCGTGGCCCGCGGGGCGGCCTCCCCCCCCCCCGCTCTCTCCCGGTGGATTAACCCTCTCCTTCCCGGGCTGTGGCGGCGGCATGGCGGACACGGCGCAGAACGGGCCCATGCAGGGAGGCGCCGCGGGGGGAGCCGTGGTGAGTGCGAGAAGGGGGACTCAGTCCGGGGCCGGTCGCCGCCCCTCGCTCCCCCCAGCCTCTGGGAGCGATTGTGGCCCCTGTCCCGGGCCTGTCTACACGGGGCAGCAGCTTTAAACCGGTTTCAGACCCCTCGCGGCTGAGCCCGTGGGAATGGCAGCCTTGCAGAAGGGCTTTCTGGGGCGCCGCCACCCCCTTGGGGGTCCTCTCGGGTGGAGCGGCGGGGCAGGGGATCTGGCTCCAAAGGTGGGGTCAAGAAGACTGTTCTTATCAAGGGTTTCCGGGTGGTGTTGTGCCGTCGTCCCCATTTCCCGTTCATGCCGACAACAGCCCTGGGAGGTAGACTGGGAAGAGGAAGGGAGTGGAGCTGGCCTAAAACGGCTGACTGAGCTTATGTAGCGGGGTGGAGATTCGAACCCGGGTCTCTCAGATCCCTAGTCTGATGCTTTGGCCACTGCAGTGTGCAACCGGCTTTCTCCAGGGAGCTCAGGGGCGTGGGTGTCGTCTGGCATGCTGCTTCCGACAGAGTCCAACCAGTTGCTCTTGAGGGCCGACCAAAAGGGCACAGAAGTCAAGGCCCTCGGCAGGTGCTGCCTCCCAGCAGTGGTATTCAGAGGTTTACTTCCTGCCCTGTGTGTTTGGAGGCTCTCTTTAGACACCCCGGGCGAATAGACATTGGTGGGCTTCTCCTCCATGAGTCTGTCTGATCTCCTTTTAAGGCTATGTATGGTTACGGTCATCTCTATATTCTCTGCCAGCAAATTGTATCGTGTAATTACTCGATGAGTCTGTCCCGAATCTACTGCCCATCAGTTTCGTTGGGTACCCCTGAGTTCTGAGAAAACTTTTCCCTGCCACCCCCACCCACCCCCCCCCATCCTGTGCACAATTGCATAAACCCCTGTCGTGCTGAAAAGCCCCAGTCTCCTCATCCTTTCCTCATAGAAAAGGTGCCCTCCTCCTCTGTGTCCTCTCAGCGACCTTGTGTGACTGGCCCAAGGGCACCTAGCAAGCTTCAGGGCAGTGTGAAGATCTGAACTCAGATCTTCCACCTTTTATCCAGAGCTTGTGAGAAGTAAATGCTTAGCCCCCGAACCTGTTCTCAAAGCCCAGCACCCAAGTATTTTGGGAAACATTGTTATGCTTTCCATGAGTTGGGGGTGGGTGGGGGCTTTGTTGGACTGCAGGCTCATTCATATGATGGGATGGAACCAAAGGTGAAGGCTCTCTTACAAGTTTGTAGCAGCCCCACTGAAACAATGCTTGTGTCCTGACAAAGCTGTATGAGTTCCTCTGAGCATGTGCAGGGCGCTTTTTATACTTGTTGGATGATCAGATACGCCTCTTGGGGTAAAAGCTCCAGGGCCTTTTGGGTTGCGTTGGAAGAGAGGGCATTTTGGTTCCTGCGTGAGATGCAGCCCCTTCTGCCATTCCCTGTGCTCCTAAGGGGGTGGAAGGCTCACCTTCTTTACCTCTGGTGACCTTGTTGGGCTTAAGAAGAGCCCTTTTGGATCAGACCAATATCCCTTCTAGTCCAGCATCCTGTCTTTCACAGTGGCCAGACAGTTCCTCTGGGCGGCCAACAACAGGGCTTAGAGGCCGAGACTTTCCCCTGATGTTGCCTCCTGGCACTGGGATTCAGAGGCTTAGTGCTTATAAAGGGTTCCTCTGAGCATGTGCAGGGTGCTTTAGTGCCTCTGAATGTGGAGGTGCCTCATAGTCACCATGGCTAGTAGCCACTGATAAGACTTCTCTCTAAATCTATCTTGGGCTCTCCTTCTTGGAGTGCAACATTGTTTCTCTTTCTTGGGACCTCCTTTGCTCCTTTCCTGTCTGCTGCTGTGGGCGGAAATTTGCCGGTCAGGGTGAAAGAGCAAACTCAACTTTGGGTGCCTGTTTTAAAAACAGAGATGCCAGAGTGCAAGCCTACCTTGTTATAGTTTCTGAACCAAAAAAGCTCGACGGATGGGTGTTTGATTGCGCCGTTGTCGACCCTAACGCCAACAAAATGGGCTTTCGGAATATAGCGAGCAACAGACCATGCGTAAAGTATATAGTCCTGAGCGTTTTACTGAAAAATTTCACTGTCTTGCACGAACGCAAGCCTGCTTCCTGGGGCAGATAAGCAGGGCTGTGACCAAATGTGAAAAACACATAAGCAATCCTGTGATGTAAACATTATCAGAAGATTTATAGTACTTTCAAGACTTATAAAATTACAAAACGTTTTATCAATTGCACAATATTGTGAACAACAGGTCCAATATAGTTCAACATAATGAGTATCCGGTATAGACTCATTTCAACTTTACAGTCTTCCTCAGATGTAATTCTATACTGAAGGGAGAGGTCAGCATCTTAATCCAGTTTAATATTGTAATTTTCTTCATAGTATCCTGGAAAAACCAAGGTAAATGAAAATTCATATGTAGCTGCATGGAAATTAATTATTTCAAACCATAATACCTTAATAATTAGTTTCAAAATTTAGAAAACTTACTTCTGGATCATACCAAGTGTTTACATGTGGAGCAAGCCCATAGGTTTCAAAAAAGCCTCCTGGATTTTGTTGGCACTGCTCTCCTAAATACTGTTCATTTTCTTTTAGTAGTAGCAAACAAGTCTTCATTTCACCTGGCTAGAAGCCCTTATTTTGTGGCTGGTATAAAGCTCTCTACATCAATCCAGATTCCATAAAGGTTCTACTTGATTAACTCCATGCAGCTGTGCAATGAATAACATACTCTTAAAGTAAACTAACATTATTACAGGCTGAACCTCTATATATATTTACTGTTGAGTTATCATATCCTATTGGATACCTGTGACCCCTCTTGTTTTGTACTATTATATTTGGGAATGATAAAACATATATATATATATACACATAATAGACTAAACAAGTATTATATGATAACTCAACAGTAAATACATATAGAGGTTCAGCCTGTAATAATGTTAGGTTACTTTAAGAGTATGTTATTCATTGCACAGCTGCATGGAGTTAATCAAGTAGAACCTTTATGGAATCTGGATTGATGTAGAGAGCTTTATACCAGCCACAAAATAAGGGCTTCTAGCCAGGTGAAATGAAGACTTGTTTGCTACTACTAAAAGAAAATGAACAGTGTTTAGGAGAGCAGTGCCAACAAAATCCAGGAGGCTTTTTTGAAACCTATGGGCTTGCTCCACATGTAAACACCTGGTATGATCCAGAAGTAAGTTTTCTAAATTTTGAAACTAATTATTAAGATATTATGGTTTGAAATAATTAATTTCCATGCAGCTACATATGAATTTTCATTTACCTTGGTTTTTCCGGGATACTATGAAGAAAATTACAATATTAAACTGGATTAAGATGCTGACCTCTCCCTTCAGTATAGAATTACATCTGAGGAAGACTGTAAAGTTGAAATGAGTCTATACCGGATACTCATTATGTTGAACTATATTGGACCTGTTGTTCACAATATTGTGCAATTGATAAAACTTTTTGTAATTTTATAAGTCTTGAAAGTAATATAAATCATCTGATAATGTTTACATCACAGGATTGCTTATGCGTTTTTCCTATTGGATACCTGTGACCCCTCTTGTTTTGTGACCAAATGTGAGGCTGCTTGGCTTCTCCAGGGTGGCTGGGAATTAATGCATTGGAACCAAACGGGTACAAAATGAAGTCCTGCTGATTTTAGTAAGGCTGACTTCCACCTAAGCATGCCTTAGGTGGAAGTCAGTTTGGTGCAGTGGTTAAGTGCGCGGACTCTAATCTGGGAGAACCGGGTTTGATTCCCCACTCCTCCACTTGCACCTGCTGATGTGACCTTGGGTCAGTCACAAGCTCTGGCACAGCTGTTCCTGAAAGAGCAGTTTGTGTCAGAGTTCTCTCAGCCCCACCCACCTCACAGGGTGTCTGTTGTGGGGAGGGGAAGGGAAAGGAGTTTGTAAGCCGCTCTGAGACTCCAAGTGAAGGGCGGGGTATAAACCCAATCTCCTCCTCCTCCTCCTCCTCCTCCTCTTCTTCTTCTTCTTCCCCCCCCACTTCAGTCAGTGTGGCAAAAACCGCCTGGGCCGCTGGCCCCACAGCCAGTCCTGTAGCACATGCATGTTGAGAAGGACGCTTCCGAGATCTGCAAGTAGATCATCTGTGGGCGTATTTAGGAACTTGTGGCAGGGGGTGGGGAGGGCAGCCAGCATCCTGCCCGTCTGTTTTGTGTTTTCCTGCATGGGGTGGGTGTGGCTGTGTAAAAACCAGATGTGTCCTGCCCCTTGTACTTGGCAGGCTGGCAGGGCTTTGGGCAAAACAGACGGGGCGGGCGAGACTTCCCTTTTGTGTATCGCTTCCCAACCACCTTCTGCTCTCGGACTGAAATAAGTGGCTTCTCTGTGTGGTGGCTTACACCAAGCCTGGGCTGGTTGCCACCTACAATGGCGGTGGCGGCCTCCCAGGTGCAGTTTGGAGTGTGCCCGGACTGGTGGCCACCTTATTTAATTAATTTATTTATTTCAGCTTATATTCCGCCCCCCCCCCCCCCCAAGTGGGCTCAGGGCGGATCACGACAGCTGTACCCGTGCCAGATAAGAAAGTGGTTGTATTCAAACGTACACCTTTTCAGCCTATTTCCCTTCACCAGTAAAATCCAAACAAACATCCAGAAGATTTTAATAAATGAAGTTAAAGAAAAGCAACACAAGGCGGAACCTTCTTCTCTCAGTCCCAGGCAAGCAGTGGCAAAATGGGAGGGTGTTAATAAAGCCCTCCTAGAGCCGCCACATGTGGTGTGGTGGGTAACTGAGTCACAGTCTGGGCAGGCCTGGTCCTGGCTCCTATGCTTTCACTCGGCGCTTGCTTTAGCACGTGATTGAAACTTTCTCGCGGGGCTAGAGCAGCACCGTGAGGCGCAGCCCTGGGGAAATACAGTCAGAAATGTTTTGATCGTGTTGGAGCAGGTCTGAGAGTCAGTAGAGGTGAATTTCGCCCCCTGCCAGGTGCCTTCAGGGTCAAGCAAGTGCCCAGCAATGTTCGTCTCTTTGTTAATGGCTGCCTGACAGGTTCAGCATGAGACGTGCCCCTCCCGCCCGTGTTGGGGTCTGTTACGCCTGGCCCATAGCAAAGGACTCCTGGCCCATAGCAAAGGACTCCTGGCCCATAGCAAAGGACTCCCAGGCTGTTTTAGGTGACTGTGGGAAACTCCCTGCAGCGGTTGTAAGTGCCTTGGATGCACTCTTCTGTGGGGGGTGTGCCAATATGTTTCCTGTAGTAAATCTGTCAGGACTGTTGCCTGGGCTTGCAGAGGCTTGAGGAACCGAAAGCTCAGATAAGCTGCCTGCTGTCCTAGCTACGAGGCAAACCAAATACCCTTGTGCTCTGGACAAGGCAAGGCTTCCTTTGGGCTGGAACCACAGTGAGGATTGGTTTGGGTCCTTTCAGCCTGTTGCCTGGTAGTGCTGGAGAGAGTCCGCCCACATGTTAGCTGTCATGGCTGATAGCAGAGCAATAGGGCGCCAATGCTCCCTCTCAGCTGTGGAGTCTTGTGAGCAAAAATTCACCTTTGTGAGCTATTGGCACAACTAAAGTTGTGAGCGGGCGATTTGGCTAAATCAGTTTGCTCTGGAGCCATCCTTCCTGAGCTAAGGCAAAAATGTGTGAGCCGGAGGCTAAAAAACGGCAAGCTAGCTCACACTAACCTAGCTTAGAGGGAACACTAGGGTACCCCCAGAATCCATCACAAGCCTCGGCATACATGTTGTTTCTTTTTTCCTCTTTGAAAATGTGTGGTAACTCCGGATTTCTGGGAGACCGTAAGGTTGATGATGAAGAAATTGAAACTGTTTGAAATTTTCTCTTCCTTGGCTCCATCATCAACCCAAAAGGGAGACTGCACCAGTGTTCCCTCTAAGCTGAGTTAGTGTGAGCCAGCTCACAGTCCTTTAGCCTCCGGCTCACACATTTTTGTCTCAGCTCAGGAAGGATGGCTCCTGAGCAAACTGATTTATGCAGTAGCCAAATTGCTTGCTCACAACTTTAATGCCAGTTGCTCACAAAGTAGCATTTTTGCTTACAAGACTCCAAAGCTTAGAGGGAGCATTGGACTGCACCCAAGGAATCAGAAGGAGATTGAAACTGGGGAGGGCAGCAGTGAAGGAGCGAGAAAAGATCCTTAAGTGTAGGGATAAGTTGCTGGCGACCAAGTTCAGGTTAATTCATGCCATGTTGTTGTTCAGTCGCACAGTCGAGTCCGACACTTCGTGACCATTCATGCCATAGTATTCCCCTTTACTGTGTATGGGCGTGAAAGTTGGACAGTGAAGAAAACTAACAGGAAGAAAGTTGATTCATTTGAAATGTGGTGTTGGAGGAGAGTTTTACGGATATCGTGGACTGCCCAAAAGACGAACAAGTGGGCTCTAGATCAAATCAAGCCCTTGAAGCTAAAATGACTAAACGGGGGCTTTCATATTTTGGTCGTGTTATGAGAAGACCAGACTAACTGGAAAAGAAAAGACAACAATGCTAGGAAATAATTAATACTTACCATATGGCATCGTGTGTAGAATTGCCGGGAGAGCTTAAGATTGTCTGGCAGCCAGAAGTTCTAGCTCTTTTTTTTAATGTTATGCACCACTAGGTGGCGAGCTAGACTTGTCTTTAAGGCAAGAGATGTTTCAGAGGTGGTTTGCCCTAGCCTGCCTCTGCATCATGCCCCTGGTATTCCTTGGAGGTTGCCCTTCCAAATACTAGCCAAGGCTAGGAAAAGTCGAAGTCAGCAGGAAAAGAGGAAGACAAACATGAGATGGATTGACTCAGTCAAGGAAGCCACAAGGGCCCTCAGTTTGCAAAACCTGAGAACGGCTGTTAACAACAGGACGTTTTGGAGGGCATTAATTCATAGGGTCACCATAAGTTGGAAATGACTTGTCAGCACTACACACACACACACACACACACACACACACTCCATATTGCCTGTAATTCACCATATCCATAACCCAAGGGTATTTTTTTAAAACTGGACGTGACAGATATTTTACATCCTTGCTTCCATTTCCTTTCCTTGTAGCAATACCTGATGGCTAATAAACTGGACACGGCAATGTGGCTGTCCCGGATATTCACAGTTTACTGCTCGGCGTTATTTGTCCTGCCTCTTCTAGGGTATGTATAAGAACTGTCTTAAAAGCCGCAGCGCCCTTGTCCTGTGTGGGCCCTCGGAGAGGATGGGGGGTACATTAGGAATCAGATGGGACAGAGAATGCAAATAGGGCGGCCGCTTCTGCAGAACACACAGGCATTTCCCAGCCGCTGTTGAACCTTGGTCGGTTTCAGTGGGGCAATAGAGCTTTTCCTGAAATCTCTCCTATCATAATCAATAGGTAAATATTTACGGGTATTTAATAACTTTCATGACCATTTTGCAGTCTGTGCATGCACATTCAGTGAGTTCAGGCTATTGTTCCAAGCTTTGATATTTATCTTTATTAAAGTCTTTTGATTTATTTATTTTTTTGCTGTCAATTGCTGTCCCCTGCAGTAGTACCTGTGAAATGCACATATAAGTGTAGCATCTTTCAACCTGAATAGTATTACTATTCCATGTCTGTTTTGCCAAACGCTGGATATGCGAGCTTGGATCCAACAGAGCGTTTCTGTGGGCAGAAGCGTTTTTGTCTGTGGCGTGCAAACCCGCCCTCCCACTCCTCTGCCTCCTCAAATTCTCCCCCAAATGTTTTGGGACCGTCTTGAGCTGCAGCGGGAAAGGGGAGGAGGGAAAGTGGCGATGCACAGTTGGAAATCCTTCCGCCTGCAGAAGCATTCTGCTGGATCCAGGCCAAAGACAACGAGTTTCAGACAGACGAATATTCTGGTGTTGTCCACCATAGTCTTTTATTCTTTCCTCTCCGAAGAAACACAAATATTTTCATGAATCCTTCCCCGATCCCCGCTTGATGCACCTGTACGGTTCAGTACCAAAGCACAAGGACTGCTTTTCAGCATGAAGCGGTGATTATGCCCTGAGTGCGGGAGGCCGGGGCGGCTCTAGAGCCCTTGCAACGGTGATGCAATGCTCACGGGAGGAAGGCCGGCAGCTGTGGCTCGGTTTGTATGGTAACCTCTCCTTTGATAATTTGCAGATTGCACGAAGCAGCGAGTTTCTATCAGCGTGCCTTGCTGGCGAACGCCCTCACCAGCGCCCTCCGGCTTCACCAGAGGCTGCCGCACTTCCAGCTGAGCCGGGCCTTTCTGGCCCAGGCGCTCCTGGAGGACAGCTGCCACTATCTCCTGTATTCCCTCATCTTTGTGAATTCCTACCCAGTCACAAGTATCCTTTCTTCAAAGGGTTCTTTAGGGCGTTGGAACGCTTCTACTCCAGAGTGACTTGATTGTGAGCGTGACGTGGGGCTGGGATATGGGGCTCAAATCCAGTTTGGTGTAGTGGACTCCAATCTGGGAGAACTGGGTTTGATTCCCCACTCCTCCACATGCAGCTGCTGGTGTGACCTTGGGTCAGTCATAAGTTCTCTCAGAGCTGTTCTCTCAAGGGCAGTTCTCAAAAGCGCTCTCTCGGCCCCACCCACCTCACAGGGTGTCTGTTGTGGGGAGGGGAAGAGGAGATTGTATGCCGCTCTGAGATTCCTTTGGGTAGTGAAGGGTGGGGTATAAATCCAATCTCCTCCTCCTCTTTTTCTTCTTCTTCCTCGCAACAAAGCTTATTGTGTGACCTTGTATCGGTCGCTTGTTCCTGGCCTAGTCTACCTTGCAGGGTTCCTGTGAGGGTCAAACTAGAGGTGGGGTGCACATGTTGACTTTTGCTTTTGGAGGGGGGGGGGATGAAAATGTAATCAGTGAGGTATGGCGGTGTCATGAGTTTATGTGCTGTTTCCAGACCACATAACAGAGACCGGCAGTTCCCAGAACATATGGCATACCCAGCAGCTTATGGAGGGGGGAGGCCTCTAAAGTTTTAGCAGCTTTGTGTTGCTAAAGATGGGTGATAAATTTAGTCGCAGGAGCATTAGAAAGTAAGCTAAGTTGGCTATGCCTGCAAGAGCACCTTGTTAATTTGTGTGCTTAAAACCCCCCAAGACTGTTTTGGTGATTCTCTTGGGACTAGAGACTTGGCTTCTGAGATGGCAGTCGACGGCCCTCTGACTCGAGCGTCAGAATACTACCTCTAGATCAGCCGGAGCTGGAGACGCAGATGCCGCTTTAAGGGGGACCAAAGGGGGAGAGAAGAGGAATACCTCTTCCAAAAATTGTGTCCAGTTAATCATTTTAAAAATAGCTTGACATGTCTTTTATTGATTAAACTTTGCCCAGGAACCTTCTGGAGTCAAATCCAGGACTCCTTCAACTGCCCAAATAGATCTGCATATGGCTGAGACCAATGTTCCCTCTAAGCTATGGAGTCTTGTGAGCACAAATTCTACTTTGTGAGCTGCTGGCATTAAAGTTGTGAGCGAGGCATTTGGCTACTGCATAAATCAGTTTGCTCTGGAGCCACCCTTCCTGAGCGAAGACAAAAAATGTGTGAGCCGGAGGCTAAAAAACTGTGAGCTAGCTCACACTCACTTGGCTTAGAGGGAACACTGGCCGAGACCTCTTTGCAGATGATTGCAGGAAGTTGCCTTCTTATGTCCGAGTCGAACCCTGACTCGTGTCAAGCTCAGAATATTCTACCCAGACTGGCAATGGCTCTCCAGAGCCTCAGGTGGAGGTTTTTCTCATCACCTGCTACTTGATCCTTTTAACTGGCGGTCGAACCTGGGACCTTCGGTCTCGTTGATGGAGGAGTGAACTTACAGTTGAATCGGCCAAAGTTCCCCCTTTCTGTCGGCAAGTGGTATCCTCTCCCTTCTTCATCGGTTCTGGTGCATTGATCAGAAGTAGCCTCAGAAAGTATGTAAGTGCGCTCTTGACTCTAGGCCCTGCCAATTGTTCTCCCGGTTAAAATCGCCATTCCCACATCCAAAGGGCTGGGCATGGCACCCCCAGCTATATGTAGCCGGGCCTCCTTGGAAACCTCTTTCTCCCGGTGCACCACATGGAGACCAAAGGCATTCTGACACTCTGTAAGTGGGAGCGTGCACTCGAATGTTCATCATATGAGGATGTGCTGCTGTGTGATAAAAAGGTGTGCAGTTTTTCCTTATCACCTCCCTCAGTGAGTATTTTCCCTGTTCTGCTGTTCTCTTTGCTTCACGCTGCTACCTACACGAAGAAGGTCCTGGATGTAAGTAGGATAAGAGGACACGATCCCACCCGTGTCCCCGGGGCTGCTTTCACCTCCCAAGCTCCTCATGGGAAGGGAAGGGGGCAGGTGTAACACGCCGGGTTGGGTCCCTCAGATTGACAGCAGCCATGGGGCTTCCTGGATCTCCCCTCCCGACAACCGTTTCCAACCTGGGGAACTTTATTCCCGGGGTCGTGGGCAATGCTCCCTCTAAGCTGGGGAGTCTTGTGAGCAAAAATTCTACTCTGTGAGCTGCCGGCATTAAAGTTGTGAGTGAGCGATTTGGCTGCTGCAGCAATTAGTTTGCTCTGGAGCCCTCCTTCCTGAGCGAAAACAAAAATCTGTGAGCCAGAGGCTAAAAAACTGTGGGCTAGCTCACACTAACTCAGCTTAGAGGGAACAGTGGGGCTCGGCATGGGTTGGGAGGCTGCAGTGGGGAGGGAGAAGGGCGGGGGCAAAACCTCGGCCTCTTCGGTCAGGAGAGGTCCGGCAAGTGGCAGAGGGAGTGATTTTGCACCCCCCCCCCAGGGCATCTCCCCAGTCTGTCTGGCCGTTACTCCGTGTGGGTCCCGTGACAAGGGCTGCTGGGATGCCAAGGAGAGTGGGCATCCTTGCGCTGGGAGATCTGTGCGCTTTCAGGGGAGGGGCTGAAAACGCCCGCCGTCCTGGTTCGGAGGGAGGGGCCCGGGCTTGGAGATGCAGCGTCCCGGAATCGAGGCGCAGGGAGGAAACGGCAGGCCACATTGTTTAGGGCTGTGGCACAGCACACAGCAGGGCCAGCCTCCCGAGCTGCAGCCGGGAGGGCTTAACATCCGAGCGAAGCTGGAAGGTGCAGGAGGCCGGGCACGTCTCCTGCCTGAGCAGCCACTGTAGGGAATTGGAGCTTCACGCCAGAGCAGACCTCTCGTTCTTTTCAGTGGGCCCTGCACCCAGTGTCTGCAGGGGCTCTGAAGCGTGCGAGAGACACTTAAAATGTACTTTAAGTCTTCTCTATTCCTGGATGACCGGGGTCTTCAAGCAATTGTAAGACACCCCGTTTCACTGGCCACCCACTGGTTTAACAGTCCGAGTGGGGCAAGAGGAGGCTTACCAAGTACTTACCGTGATTCAGCGGGGGACACATACTTCTTCCCAGGATCACTCCTGCGCGGACAACAGACGCGCCACACCATGCCGTGTAATGCAGTTCAGACACCATTTTGTTTGCCTGTTTGGGTTACTTGACTAAAACTCTGGTCAAGAGGCTTTTGGGGCTGTGTAGGCCAGGAATGCTTTTAAGAGAGAGGCTGCCTTTAAATCAGAAGAGGCCCTAGAAGTCTCCTAGAGACAAGGGACATACTGATAAAGGGGAGAGTTATGACCTTCACTCCGTAGCTTTCCCAGCTGCAGACATTTGGCCCTGCCGGCCTTGGAGGCCATTAATTAATTAGCAGCATTCCCAAGTGATTGCACCTGTGATGGGAGGGGAATCAGGTTATCTCTTGAATTCTAAGTTTCGATTCCCCAGAACTCATAAACAAGTATTATGGGATACTTTGGTTACCTTGGATACTGGCAAAAGTGACATCACATTGCCCGGTCATGAATGGTCAACAGGCCTGGATCATTCATGCCCCCTTTTCTATAAGAACAGTGGTTCTTGGATTCCTTGGAGTTTGTGGCCAAGCCAGGCTAAGACTCTGAGCAACCCTCCATTATGCCTTGATATACTTGGACTTACCACTCAGGTGGGAAGATGCAGTTTGGACTTATACTCTGTGTCTCGAGGACTTTTTGCCTCTTTGAACCTAATACGGGTAAAACTTGTTTGCTTGCTGCTTGTAAGTATTAGCTATGCTGGAAATGCTTAGATTTTGTTATTTTATTCCCTCACTACCTAAGTCTCGTGTTTTATATTTTGCACAACTTATTTAAATAAAGAAACTTATATTTTTACCTTGTCTGGGTGATTCAGCCTCAAGAGTTTCAAAGCCTAAATCCTCGTGCCTTAAGACTGCTGGTCTTTCTACTACCAATTGTGTCTTTTGTTCAAGCCCTGTGGTGGAGGCTGCAGAGTTTGTCCTTTTGTCTGGTGTTCCTTTGTTTAGCCTGGAGACTTCGGTTACTTTGCTCCAGTCTGGTTGGGAACCCAGGAAGTAACCTGGTGGCAGACTACCGTTGATAAATCCTTTGTGCTTTTTGTTCCTTGTACCAGAGACTGAGGACCTGGAGAGGACTCCAGGCTCTGACATGCCGTCACCAGGAAGTGACGCCAGGCGACGCTCTAGCAATGGGGCTGGAAACTCGATGGTGCCATCGAGTTTTCAGCCCCATTGTCAGAGCGTCGCCCGGCGTCACTTCCTGGCGACGGCATGGTGCGTTACAGGGAGGAGTGGTCCGGCCAGGGATCATGTGTCCCCAGACGAATCGCGGTAAGTACTTGGGAACCCTAGGCAAGAGGCCTTAATTTGTAATCCTTGTTCCCAGAGTTAGTTCATCTCTTTAATTTTTTAAAAAAACATCTAAAAAGTAGATGATCCATATCCATGTGAGAACCATTTTTATGTGGGTAGCGAATGGGAGTGCCAGTTTGATTTGCGCTCTGTTGCAACCGTCCAATACATGCATTTCTAGAAAGGTGCACATGACCTTTCTGTCAGAGCGTGTGAAATATTTTGTGGCCTGTTACGTCTCATAGCTGAGCTACAGGCAGCGGTTGCATCTCACAATGTGTATGTTGACTGTGCTTTTTTTAAATTTCTGAAGAAATATATTTCTAAAGGCCCCCAGCAGTTTCCCCCACTTAATCTTTAGACTTTGGAAATTCAGATAGCCATATGTTGGCATTCAGAGTTTGTAAAATACTTGCAAATACTGTGGGGCGGAATATTTAATGATGTAATGGGAGTGCAGAAGCTGTTCGTTTTCGTCGACTTTTCTTTCTTTTATTTTTCCCTTTGAAGGCAAGAGGTTCCAATAGTCTCCTTTTCCTGCGAAATCTCTTGGACAAGTTAAACGCCAATCAGCAGAACATCCTCAAGTTTATAGCTTGCAATGAAATCTTCTTGATGCCAGCGACCGTGTTCATGCTTTTCAGGTATGACAGACAATCCTTTGACCTCTTTACAATGATCAAGCTGTTCCGTAGCCCGGTTAGAATATACAAGGCTATTAAAGTCGCCATGGTGCAGGGGTCATTTTGTAGAAAAAGAGGTGCAGGAGCTCATTAGCATAACTCATTTGCATATGCTACACCCCCTGACATCACCGGAAGTGTGTCAGAAGGCAACACCCACCACTCAGGCTCCACTAGACTGTTTTGGATTGCTAGCTATTGGGGGGGACGGGACGTGAAGATCTGTCCTCACAGAGGAGGGGGAGCTTGTACCTGAATAAAACTTGGTCTTAAAGGTGCCACTGGACTGTTTTAGGCCGCGGAGGGCAGGGGGAGCTCTGCAGCTTACCTGGCTGCTTCTTGCTCTGACTGAGGGCTGCTGGGAGCAGGGGGTGGGGCTTGTTGCATGTGCCCGCCCCCTGGGTTCTTTACTGCTGGAGCTCCGCTCCTGTGCGCTCCTGCAGGAAAGGACCCCTGCCATGGTGTATCTTTGTAGCGTTCTGCTTCAGGGACCTGCTTGACCGACTGGGAGCTGAGACTCCAATCGCAGGTCTTACCCCAGGCTGTCAGCTGAGCTGCAAGAAGAACCCCCAAGTCCTGGGTTTGAGCTGTGCAGCGTTTGCTGCATAACTGTCCAAGGATGACTGCTGCACTCCTCCGATGGGAGATTTGTGTGGTCTGTATTCATCTGCTGTGACAGGGACGTGATTCCGCGGGGCCTGGAAGACGGAGCTCTTCCACCAGGCATTTGGTTGAGGCAGTGAAGTCCGTCCCCCCCCCCCTCCAGCTTTTCTGGCCCTACGTTTTTCGGCCCAATTCTTCCAGGCCAATTGTCCGTCAGGCCTGTTCTGACTAGTCATCTGACAACTTTTATAATTATACGGTATTTTATGATTTTATGTGTAAATTGTTGTTTTAATATTGTTTTTAATTGTATATTTAACTGTTATGCACCGCCCTGAGCCCATTGGGGAGGGCGGCATGTAAATCTAATAAAATTAAAAAAAAATAGAAATAAAATTTTCAAGTGTATGAAGAAAGTCCAGATTCCTTCTCGGGAAGGCAAACCTGGGGCCCGAGTGTGAAATGAAGTAACTGATCTCTGATGTGTAGGCAAAGGAAGCTGGGTTTCTAGCAGAAGTGGCTAGCTCAGTACAACTCCGTAGCACATCCCAAACGTTCTTGGTTGGGATGAATTATATGAAAGGCACTGGCCACCTTCTGCGAGCTGCAGCACACTCACTTTGTATGGGACTGGCCAGTGGGCTTTGCCTAGATGCATTGTATAAGAAGTTTAAAAAACAACAACAGTGTATGCAGCATCACAACAATCAAGGATGTTTCCCCAGACGTACCACAGTGGTTGTTCAGTTCTTGTCTTTAAAAGAAACCTCCTGGGAAACCTGTGTGTTTGGGAGGGGGACGAGGGAAGGTGCTCGGTTTATGCCGCTTACCACAATAGGAGACTGAAATCCCCTGTGCAGGTGGGCACTCTTGGATTTCCCGTTTCTGGAACTTCGGCTGCAGCCCCATCGACGGCCGGGCCGCTCCTCCCATCTAGTGCAAAGTCTGCAGCCGGTTTAATTGGAGCGAGGCCAATGACTCTTTGCTGTCCTTGGCAAAATTTTACCGTTTCAGCTGCTGTGCGGCTAATTGGCTTTAGGGACGATTCACACACCCTTTCCCACATGAATCTGTCCAACCCATTGATGATCTTCAGAGGCCCTCCCGTGGGTGGCCCTGCCTTCAGAAGGAGTGTGGGTGTGTGAGGCCCGGGGTACCAAATTCTCTCCTTAGAGATGCTTGCTTGGCGCCTGGTTTATGGTCCTCGTGGTGCCGGGATAAAGTTGCTTCTTTCCCCCTTAGAAGGCTCATAGATCTGCAAATCTTGAGGGTTGGGGAAATTTTGTGTTCTTCATTTTTTGGGAGCAAGGGATAAAAGGACCGGGACAAGTTTTGCTCCCACCCAAGTAATCTTAGGCTCATTAACTCTAAGCAAATAGAACAGAGATGCCAAAGTATAGTAAGGTGCCCGATCCCTAATCAAGGGCTTAATGTAGTAATCCCTAATTGTCTCAAAAAAGAGGACATTCAAGCAGAACTGGGAATTGCTTTGTTTCCCGGGGCTTTTATTGGTGTCTAGGCATTGCTGCTGCTGCGTGTTCCTCTGTAGCCCTTTTTAGAAATTGTTGTTGTGGACTTTTCTTTTTTAAACTATGGTGCCTTCTCTTAGCTGCCACAAAATTCTCAAAACGAAGGGTTAGCAGTAGGCTGACTGGGATCTGCATGTTTCTCATCGCTTGTGTGCATTAAAACAATGTCGTGGAAGTTTTTGGTTCGAAAGCGTTTGTTGTCTGCAGGGTTCTTTTTGTAGAAAAAGCCCAGCAGGAACTCATTAGCATAACAGGCCACACCCAACAGCAGAAACTCATTAGCCTATTAGGCCACACACACCCCTGACAGCACAGCTCATTAGCACATTAGGCCACACCCCCGTGTTACCAGAAGTGTGCTCATCCAGCCACACCCATCTTTTGCTTCTTATTCTGTTTACCTGTTTGTTGTCAAAACCCAGGGCTTTTTTTTGTAGCAGAAACTCTTTTGCATGTTAGGCCACACACCCCTAATGTAGCCAATCCAAATGAGTTTCTGCTGTTGGGTGTGGCCTGTTATGCTAATGAGTTCCTGCTGGGCATGGCCAACTTGGGAGCCAGCCGGAACTCCGTTCCTGTGCGTTCCTGCCCAAAAATAGCCCTGGTTGTCTGCATTAAAAGTGGAAGGTTTAGAAGTCATGGGTTGTGTCCTTAAATTAATCTTTCCTTTATAACTGCTCCCGCCTCCCCCTTTTCCTTCTCTTTCTTTCCAGTGGGCAGGGAAGTTTGCTGCAGCCTTTCATCTACTACAGGTTCCTCACGCTCCGGTACTCCTCCCGCAGAAATCCTTATTGTCGGTAAGAAACCAGTGAGGAATTCCCCTATGCCCGCAATCGTCACTATACTTCGGAAATGGGGGGGCTTTAGGCGCTGGGCCTTCCCGTCATTTTTTAAAGGTGATCTGCAACTCGGTGGTTGTGAATCTTGAAAGACAAGGCCTTCCTCAGATGGCTTTCTGATCAGCCCTGGAAGAGTGAGGTTAAGTCCAAAGCGTGGGGAAGGGAGGCTCTTTCTGTAGCAGGAACTCCTTTGCATATTAGGCGACACACCCCTAATGTAGCCAATCCTCCAAGAGCTTACAGAGCTCTTCTTACAGGGGCTACTGTAAGCTCTTGGAGGATTGGCTACATGAGGGGTGTGTCGCCTAATATGCAAAGGAGCTCCTGCTGCAAAAAGAGTCCTGCGGGTGTGCATGGGAGGTTCTGCTTTCGTCCCCCGAAGTTTTCCTATCTGGATTCGGGGCTTTGAATGGCTTGAGGCTCTGGAGAGAGTAGTCAGTGCGAAGCTGGATGAGCCAGTGCCCTGAAGGCATAAGGGAGCTTTACCACAAGCCCAACCCCCTCCTGTGGGAGAAAGGGCTGTGGGTCATTGCAAGTCAGTCCAGGCTGGAACGAAAGGCATGGATTGGAACTGGCCGTCCAGCCCCAAAGCCAACTATTAAATGGATATAACTGGGCAGACATTGGATCTGGCAGGCATGGCACAGCTAGGTGGAGCTTTTGGGGCCTCCACTCCCGCAAGAATTTTGCCTGTAAATGCTTTTTTCAATCATTTTAAAAACTTAAAAAAGTTATGTGCTCCTTTAAGCAGAGTGGGGCACTGTAGTTGACTCATCCCCACACTGAGCAAGGGGGTTGGAGTAGGTGACCTCTAAGATCCCTTTTATCTCTTTGTCAAGAAATGGGTCTCTTTTAAGAGAGTTTTCCTGCCTAAATGTTAGCTTTCTTGACTGTAGAAGTCATCACCCTCACCTGCCAACTTGTTATCAGAGGTGCTGTTTAGGCTGGCAGAAGTGATTAACTTGCAGCAGCTGAGAGCTGCCATCTAAAGTGGTCCACAGCTTGCAATTTAGAAATGTATCCTGGTAAAAGCTTTCTGTTGGCTGCATGGCTTTTCTTTCTGCACTGAGAACTTCAGCCCCACCAGAAAAAAAATTGTCCCACAAGCCACAAAATCCTGCCCACGGGCCGGGGCACAGCCCTCGGCATCCGTGGGCTGTGCTGTGCCTCCCGGCCTCTGCTGTGACCCCACGTTGTGTCGTGCGTTTCCCATACAAGACTGTTCAGTGCAGTCCAGTGCAGAACGACCTCTGCGGTAGCACAATTGTTTGGTTCTCTTCAACGAGCAACATGTGACTGGCGCTGCGTAAACGTGTTTCTGATGCAAGGGAAAACATTCTTTTTTTAGGACTCTCTTCACCGAGTTGCGGATCGTTGTGGAACACATCATTATGAAGCCGTCGTGTCCCGTCTTCGTGCGCAGGCTTTGTCTCAGCAGCATTTCCTTTATTAGCAGACTGGCGCCCACAGTCGCGTAGCTGGCTTCCGGGAAGCAGATGGGTGTGTCTCTAACGAACATTCGGAGCAGCTGGTATTTCTGCTGGGGGTTTATGAAAATTTGGCATCTCAGTCCAGGCTGTATGAAAATCTGTTGCTTCCCTCCCGAGAGCCTGTCCTGTGAATTGTATCCTGTGTTTAAACAAACGGGGGGGATAAAATTTAATCTCCCCCCCCCCCAAGTGCTCCCACAGAGCAGAAATGTTTATTAGCATCAAAAGGAAATATGTTTAAAAGTAATAAATTTCCTCTGACAAAATCACTACGGTGAATCTCAAGAGAACTTTGGCATCTCTTTAAGCCCTGCCGTGATTGCCCTGCCGTAGATTTTGCCGTTTGGGAATGCTGGTGAATGCCATACTGCAGGTCTCATATGCTTCTGGGAATGGGGCTTGCTCTTATAGAAGGTTTCTTCCAGTTTGGGACCTTTAAGTAACCCCAAAGAATGCATCCGTTTCCGTAGGGTTATAATACTGGTGGGTGATGGGCCTGGGTGAGTGGAGAGATCCAGTAACCCAAGGAGAGATGGGCTTGTGGGCCTGGCGCTCGTAGTCTGTGGAGTCATCACTATTTAGATCATTACCGCAATTATTCATGCCAAACGCTGGATGTCTGGGCCCCTGTGGTGTCATTGGGATGAGTTGCAGGAAGGTGGGTTCTTTAGCTCTGTTGTTCCATTCAGTTCTTTATTGCCAACTGTTGGATCAGAAATGGATTTCTGCTTCTCCTCCTTCTCCTGCAGTTTCCTCTCCTCCTCTGCCTGTTTCTGAAGCCACTTCTTCTCTTTAGCAGCCGTGAGTTATCTTTGCAGGCGAGCAGCCTTCTCTTTCCATTCACGCTCCCTAGCTTTCTCTTGTTCTCCCTCCTTTTTCCTCTGTATCAGCCCCCGTTGTCTGCGTTTTAATTCCAGCCGCAGAGCTCTCCGTTTATGGGCTTTGAGCTCTTTGCCGCCGTTTTCACTTTTTCATCTGCCGTTTTGTCTTTTTGTAACTCTTCATTATGCTGAGCAAGTTTTTGCTCAGGACGTTTTTTCTTCTCCCGTTCCCTCGGCTCCATCCACTCACAAGGTTGCAGCACCCCGCGAAAGCACTCCTCACGCTTCCTTTTCCAATTTTCCCGTCGCTGGAGCCCCCACAAGTTCAGGAACCCACAGACCCTCCAGAAAGCGATTCAGAGAGCCCAGGTGTCCCGAAAAGCCAAGAAGACAGGGGGGCGGGCACGAGTGCAGGAGAACCGGGGAAGCTGGCACGTACCCGAGCACCGAGGGACCGACGGTGTCCTTCAGGCAAGCATGAAGGCGAACGGGGAGTTTCGGGATCTCCCAGAAGTGACCCCACCCCCGAAGACGCCCAGGCCACCCCACTTGGGAGGTGGGACCAGAGAGATTGACAGGGAACTTTCCCAATCAGCGGATGACAGGGGAAAGGGGTGGAGTTCCCCGGGTGGAGGGAGATAAATGCGGGGAAGCCGAAATGAGCCGGAGAGGAAAAGCGGAGGTGACGAGCATTGGGATAGAGAGAGAGCGAGATCCGAGTACGCTGTCACTCCGAGAAGTGTTGTTGAGAGTGATGTAACTCTCTCCATTTCAATTCTGAGGCTTTGGCTTCCCCTGTGGGACTTCAGACGACATGGCGGAGGCACCCTTCCCCTCAGGAGAGGACCCCCGGCGTGACACCGTCTTTTCCTCCGCTTTCTGTTTTCCTCTTCTGCTCAGCCTCCTTCTTCTTTAAATTCTCGAAGGGCTGCCTCTCCTTTTCCACAGGATTGGTTCGGACAGGAGTGTTGTATTTGAAGGATAATTTTATGGCGCTTTCGTATGTCCTCCTCTAAAGATGTGATTACAGAGAAGACAGGACCCCGGGTATGCAGAAACACTCAATGAGGTCTTCCACGTAGGTTTGTTCCTTCTTCTTTTGGATGGTTTTATATCAATTAAGGGGGAAATATATTAACTTCCAGTGACAACAAAGTGAATGTTCAGGATGAAACGTTTGAATGTATTTTGAAATTATATGGAACTGTAAGCAAGACATTGCGGTTGAATATAAGGATACAATTTACTGAGGGAAAAGGAAGAGAGGCCTCATCCAGGCGTTAACTTTGGGTAATGAGTTGCCTTGGTTGTGCCCTCTTGGCCGTGAGCCGTTTCCAGCAGGATTGGATCAACACTTCTACTCTCTTGGTCGAGCAGCCTGTCTTCCCTCCAGTTGGCGTTTCTTGATCCTAACCTGAACCAGCTCCATGTTGCGTCCCCTCTGTTTTGGTTTTGCTGCTTACTGTGATCTTCTTTCTCCAAATAAACTTGTATCTCTTGGGAGATTGCCTTTGAGAGATCTCAGTTCTTTTTCTCTGAATGTGCTGTAAAAACGTAGGGGCTTGCAGATAAAGTGCATTGGTCTTCTACATCCAAAAGGCTGGTTTAAGCAGCGCTTTGGGAGATGGCTAAGCAGCAGACTTTGGGGCTTGTATTTAGAGGGCCCCAGGGTCAATTTTTGGCATCTCCTGGTACAAGGCTCAGGGTCCGAAGTGATGCGGAAGACCTCAGCCTGAGACCCTGGAGAGCTGCTGCTAATCGGAGTGGACAGCAGTGACTTAGATAGACCAATGGTTTGACTCAGTATAAGGTAGCTTCCGGTATTCATTCATGTGTAGGTTTGGTTTCTGCAAATACTTAACACTAACTAACAGCGTTCCGTGCACCCTGGTGTTTAATCATGCCGGCCACATGACCACGGAAACGTCTTCGGACAGCGCTGGCTCTTCGGCTTTGAAACGGAGATGAGCACCGCAACCCTAGAGTCGGATTCGACTGGCTTTCGAGCAAGGGACTCTTTACCTTTACTTTAACTCAGTTTGGACATTAAATGTTAGGACAGCTGTCTCTCTGCTCATTTCATGATTTGGATCCATGTGGCCCAAGCCCCTGTATCACAACTTTTGAAACTTCTCCTCCATTTCCAAAGCAGCTGTTAGGGAAAAAAACAACCCTATTTACTTGAAAAGAAGACAACCCTGGATGTAAGATGACAAAAAAAAACACACCCATTTTTTTCCACCAAGGATTTTTTTTTACTGGACATGACTTAACTTGTATACCAATGTAAGGTGGCCCTTTCTTTTTTATGGCATACCTGGAAAAACCTTAGTCTTTCATTGACATGAATATGGTAATCCAAAGTCCGGTTTTGTTTCCTGGTACTAGTTTTATGGTTTTGTGAATCCTAGCAAAATGTTTCTGAGCAGAAAAGGAAAAAAGGCTATGTGGTGTCATTACACTGCGTGTTTCTGGCGTGGACAGTTTCATCCTAGATCTAGGATTGGGTGAACTCGAGACTGGCGCTGGAGAGCCAGTTTGGTGTAGTGGTTAAGTGCGCGGACTCTAATCTGGGAGAACCGGGTTTGATTCCCCACTCCTCCACTTGCACCACGCTGGATGACCTTGGGCAAGCCATAGTTCTGATAAGAGCTGTCAAGAGTTCTCTCAGCCCCACCTACCTCACAGGGTATCTGTTGTGGGGAGGGGAAGGGAAAGGAGTTTGTTAGCCGCTCTGAGACTCCAAGTGAAGGGCGGGGTATAAATCCAATCTCTTCTTCTTTAAAAAAATTACAAGCCTGTACCCGGGGACTGTGAATTCTGGATAATTCATGCAGAAGACATTATTTGTTTGGTTTTGCATATTTTCTGCTTTGCATAGCTCATGCCCGGAGGGAGCAAGAACACTGAAACTCTGCCAACGGTCTTTCTCCGCTAATCCTCTGTCTTCTGAGGCCTTTGTAAACTTACTGTTGGACTCTTAGGAGCTAGATACTTCTTTGTTTTAAAACTGAAGCTGATTTCTGCACCCACAACCTGACACACACAGAGTCCTGTCTTACCCCAGCTTGTTACGTGTGCTTTAATATTTTTTTTTTTTTTGGAGTAAGAAGAAGAAGAAGAGAAGAGATTGGATTTATACCCCACCCTTCACTTGGAGTCTCAGAGCGGCTTACAAACTCCTTTCCCCTCCCCTCCCCACAACAGACACCCTGTGAGGTGGGTGGGGCTGAGAGAACTCTGACACAAACTGCTCTTTTTCAAGGACAGCTGTGCCAGAGCTTGTGACTGACCCAAGGTCACATCAGCAGGTGCAAGTGGAGGAGTGGGGAATCAAACCCGGTTCTCCCAGATTAGAGTCCGCGCACTTAACCACTGTGCCTGCCATGGATCGGGGGCTTCCCTTATCTCTCATTTGCTGACTGACCATGCTTGGTGTGTGGCATTAATTCACGTTAATGGGCAAGGACTAGAATCTAAGACTTCCCGATCAACCGCTGTTTTCTCTGCAGCTGGAAGTCCCCAGTTCGGCTCCTGCCTGTGTTCGCAGTTCAAGTACCATAGGATGCATTATGTGTCCATTGTCTAAAAGGATGATGGGCAAAGGGGCGGTTGTCTTGGCCCTATGTGAAAAGAAATGGGCTCCGGCGATCTCCCGCGTGGATCCCTCGGTGGTTCGGTCATTTTCAGCGGCTGAGCCTGCTGTGTTTTTAGGGGGAAAGCCGAAAGAGCAGTTTGGAGAGACAGAAGAGTAGCAAAGGTCTCGGATGCGCTTCTTTCAGCTGTAGGTGCCGAACAAAATATTTTTCACCTTCCGACCTTCTCCTGTCAGCCTTGTCCTCTTCTTCAGTGGATTAAACAAAACAGAGCAGAAGCTGCACTCAAAGAGGCCGACATGTCATAAGTATTATCAGGGCTTCTTTTATAGAAAAAGCCCAACAGGAACTCATTAGCATAATAGGCCACACCCAACAGCAGAAACTCATTAGCATGTTAGGCCACACCCTGTCTTGGCTTGCTTGGGTGCCCCGCGGCTGCAGGGAGCCTGGGCAAGCTGGCCCTTGGACAGGCCAGGGAAGGCATGGGGGGGCATTTAAATGCCTCCCTGATCCTTCCAGCCCCCCCCTGGCCCACCCGCCTCAGAGTCGCCGGGGGGGGGGGGGTCGCTCTCCAGGTCCTCCCTCTGTAGCCAGGCACACGCAGAGGTTTTGGCTGTAGTGGGCGTGGCCAGCTCTGAAGCCAGCCGGAACTCTGTTCCTGTGCGTCCCTGCCCAAAAATAGCCCTGAGTATTTATTCTTGCATATGTATGTGGGGGTTATGGCTTCCCACTTAGGAGGACTCGGGGCCCCATATTGATTGATAGGCTTCTGAAGGAACTGGATATCTGAATCCGTACAAAAAGGCAAGCGGGTTGATGGCTGCTGGAAACAAGACTGGAGGCACTGAATATATCCTGATGGAAATCGCACGTGAGCAGACACACACCTTGTACAACCCAAAAGCGCCTTTCTTAGAATATTTATGAAGTACCTTTTGCAAAAAGGTTCTGACGCAGTACACCTAAAAACCTATACTAAAGCCATTACCTAAATCGTCTGGGGGGGTAAATCAGATCCAAGCCAGACGATTTAATCAGCTGTTAAGGAAAGGCTGTTGGGAATGAAACTATTACAGCCTTTCCTAAACAAAGATTTATTGATTAAAACATTTATATCCCACTTTCCCCCAGGCTTAAAGTGGCTTATATACCTAATTAAAGCAACAAAACCCCTCCGTTTCCCCTCTCAAGCTAGCAAAACACAATAAAATGCCTCCAGTCTCTCCTTCATTACAAGCTCTGGTGGATAAAACAATCCTAGCGAACCAATCCCAAAGAAGGGCAATGCCAAAGAATGTTCAAACTATCGCACAATTGCACTCATATCACACGCTAGCAAGGTCATGCTCAAGATCCTACAAGCTAGGCTTCAACAGTACGTGGATAGAGAACTGCCAGAAGTATAAGCTGGGTTTCGAAGAGGTAGAGGAACTAGAGATCAAATTGCCAACATTCGCTGGATTATGGAGAAAGCAAGAGAGTACCAGAAAAACATCTACTTCTGCTTCATTGACTATGCTAAAGCCTTTGACTGTGTGGATCACAACAAACTATGGCAGGGCCTTAAAGAGATGGGAGTACCACGCCACCTCACATGTCTCTTGAGAAACCTGTATAAGGGTCAAGAAGCAACAGTTAGAACCGGATATGGAACAACTGATTGGTTTAGCATAGGAAAAGGAGTACGACAAGGATGTATATTGTCACCTTGCTTATTTAATATATATGCAGAGTACATCATGCGAAATGCCGGCCTGGATGAATCACAAGTGGGAATTAAGATTGCTGGGGAAAAGATCAACAGCCTCAGATATGCAGATGATACCACTCTAATGGCAGAAAGTGAAGACCTAAAGAGCCTCTTGCTCAGGGAAAAAGAGGAGAGCGCAACATCAAAAAACTAAGATCATGGCATCCGGTCCCATCACTCCTTGGCAAATAGAAGGGGAAGTCGTGGAAGTGGTGACAGACTTCACGTTCCTGGGATCCCAAATCACCGCAGACTGTGACTGCAGCCATGAAATTAAAAGACGCCTGCTACTTGGGAGGAAAGCGATGGCGAACCTAAACAGCATGATAAAAAGTAGAGACATCACCCTGCCAACAAAAATCCGCATGGTCAAAGCAATGGTATTCCCAGTAGTCATGTATGGCTGCGAGAGTTGGACTATAAGGAAGGCCGAGCGCCGAAGAATAGATTCTTTTGAACTATGGTGCTGGAGAAGACTCTTGAGAGTCCCTTGGACTGCAAGAAGATCAAATCAGTCAATCCTAAAAGAAATCAACCCTGACTGTTCCCTGGAAGGCCAGATAATGAAAATGAAGCTCAAATACTTTGGCCACCAAATGAGAAGGGAGCACTCACTGGAGAAGACCCTGATGCTGGGAAAGATTGAAGGTCAAAGAAGACGGGGACGGCAAAGGATGAGATGGTTAGACAGTGTCATAGATGCAACGAACATGAAGTTGAGCCAACTTCAGAGGACGGTGGAAGACAGGAGGGCCTGGCGGGATCTGGTCCATGGGGTCGTGAAGAGTCGGACTCGACTGTGTGACTGAACAACAAAATGGGTCTCCTCCTAAAGGTTTCCCTGGCTGGTGCTTCCCTCACCTCCACAGAGAGGAGGCACCCTCAGGATCTTGTAGAACAGGCTATTCTATAAGAGGGAGACCTACAGAGAAGGGGCTGGCACTAACTTTGCTGTCTTGTGTGAGGGGGCAAGAGAAAGGAGCAGTGTGAGGGCGGGTTTTGATCTAAGCACCTGCTTACATGCTTTGTAACACTGAGTGAGTCGGACAGGAGTATTTAGTTGAAAAAAAAACTGAGTACTGAAGTGAATCCACTCCTACCTTAGGCAAGCTGCATTTGTGAATTAGTGTGGTGGTCAGAACCTCAG